TCCACCGTGCCGCTGTGCCACGGCGCCACAGTCAGACTGGAACAAACACCTGCGGATCTCCTCCCAGCCATCAGCCCATGAAACCCCGGGGGGTCACAGCTGGCCACTCTGTTGTGGACTGCACTCCCGAGGAGCGGGCTGAATCAGCAGCAGCCCACGATGGTCAGCCTGCACGGTCAGCAGCTCGGGACAAAGGTCAGCATGGGCTAGCCTCAAAGAACCAGAGACATGAACACACACACACACATACACACACGCCTGCGCTGAGCTCTTCTGAGAACAAGGGTCCTCCTACACAGTCAGCAGTTGTCTACCAGCGTGCCGTGCAGGAACGGGTTGTGTGTGCTCCCTGAGGGCAGAGATGTTTGTGACCTCGCTCTCCACTCCACGTTCTCCCATCACTGAAACGGAGCCTGCCATTCAGAGACATCCCCCCTCCAACAAAACAAAAACACAAAACCCCACCGCTATGGAGTGGACTCTGATGCCGAGCACTCCCGGAGAGAGTGTCTGAGGCTGGAGATCGTGACAGGAGCAGGCAGTGAGTGGTCCGTGTTGACCCAGTAACTGCCCGGGCGATTGGGTAAGGCATGCTCTCTCGGTTCTGCAGGGCAGAGTAGCACTGCCCCTGTGGATCCCTGAGCCTGGAAAGCTCCTCAACAAAGCTCTTGCATAACGAAAACGCATTGGCTCAATGCGTGATAGAAAACACAAGGCAAAAATAATAATGAGGAGGAGGAGCTGATACCCAGGGCTCAAGTAGAAAGAAAATGTTTTGAGAATGACGAAGGCAACCTACATACAAATGTGCTTGACACAATGGATGGATGGATGGATGGATGGATGGATGAATGGATTGTGATATCAGCCATCGATTAAATGATTAAAAAAAAAAAACACGAGGCAGCTGCAACAGACCCTCCTCACGCACTCACGGATGTTCGCTCTCTCACATGCACCTAACGCGGCCACGCACTCTGACCCACGAGCATCCTCGGGAGGCCAGGGAAATGCATCCTGGAGTGGGAAGTGGGTAGGGTGGCTGCCTTGATGACCCACTCCCCCCACCACCCAGGGCCTCCTGGCCTACATGGCCTGCCTGCTCCTTGCTCTCAGACCTTGACCTCCTCACAACCTCGGTCTCCAGAGGCCCCCAGACTCTGCAGAGATTGTGCCGCCTTCCCCTCAAACGTGAGTGAGCTCAGCCTCCCTCCACTCTCCGCAGTGAACTCCGAGGTCCTTCATAGGGAAGGGGCCCTGGCCCAGAGCCGCCCGACACTGCAGGGACCACACCCGGGCCTGCGAGAAACCCAGGCTGCAGAACCCGCTGGCGGACCCTGGCTATGGCTGAGTCACGGGAGAGCCACACTGAAGGCAGACTCAGCGCAGGGTTGGCGTCTGCTTTGCCGTCCATTCCCAGTGTGATCCAGGCAAGGGCATCTCCTGCTCTGGGCCTCCATTTCCCCATTGGCTTTGGACGGATTCCCCACACCTCCCCGATTGCTGGGCACGGAAGAACTCGGTGGTCTCGGCTGGCCCCAGGCTAAGTGGCCACAGCATGTAAGAGGGTAGATTGAGAGTGAGCGAGAAGAAGAAGTAGAGGGAGCCATTTATTCTCATGAATGCCCAAGGGGTGGGGCAGGGAGGGAGACGTGGACTGTGCAGGGGGCTCTGTGTGCACCCCACGTCAGGCCCCTGGTTCCAGGTCAGGAAATCCCCAGCAAGGCTTCCCTGAGAGCAAAGGCAGTCACAGTTATAGAGG